GGCTGGTGACAGGCGATGTGATGTGTATGTAGGTGTGGATGTGTTTGGAAGGAATTGTTTTGGGGGTGGAGGCTGGAACACGAATAAGGTCAGTTTGCATAGCGCCCTCTGGTGGTCATCTTTTTTCCCTACAATATTTATTTTTTAATAAAACATTTCCTCTGTCCAATTTGTAACAGCTATTGCCATAATGTGAAAGCATAACATAAACGCTACATTCTGACGTTTCCTATTTATTAAATCACTTGCAAGTTGAAAAATATAGCCCCTGAGTTACGTCCCAGTGGGCATCATCTATTGAAATCCAATTTTGTCAAGCGAATCTTGTAGAAATAGAAATTATGTTGCCATCTTGAGAGGCTAAGCGTCTCTCTCTGATAGCTTCTCATTAATAATTAGATGTGTCATTTTCTCATAATAGTATGCATCATGCGTCACAAATCATCATGAGAACAATTTCAACAAAATTTTTCACATTGCATTTTACATAATACATATTGTCACAAACAATATTTTGGTAAGAATTGTTTGATTTTATGTGGTTATATTTAAACAAAAAAATGTTCAAAATTACAGCTATTGCTGCCTTAACAATAATATAATATGAAAGTCAATCACTAATAGATTTTGTTTAAAATTTGTGCTACTTTTGATACTATTTAAATAATATTTTAAAACTATTTTGGTTTGTTTTAAATAAAAATTTTGACAGCCTAGGACTGTTATAGATAATATTTTAACATTGTTTATGATTTAAATCTGTTTCAGGCAATGTCTGTTATCAGTAATCATAAGCTATCGGCTGCCATCTTTGCTCCCGGATGGGTGTGTGAGAAACATGGACATGAACATTTTGTTGAAAACCAAAATAGGTAACTATGCCTTCCACAGAAATAATGTTTGTCATCATTTCAAGATCTTACAAAAAAATATAACTAATGTTACATGAGCAGATTATAAAGACATTTTTAACCCCATCTGCTACTTGGCTGTGATTTTTCAGTGATTTTTCAGTGAATCTTAAGAAAATTGATTGCCTGAATGAACCTGCTGAGATATTATTTCAACACAATAGTTATAAATACATCTGTTGAAATTTCAATTTTTGTTTACCAATTTGTTTGTCTGAAACAAACTTCTTCATGAATAATTAATCACATTGCTCAGTAACATTATTTGAAACAAATGCTGTTCAGAAATGTCTTCATACTTGTGTAGAATGTTTTGTTTTGTATCATGTTTTTATAATAATCTTTGTTTAAAAAAAATACATTTCTCACATTATTCATACACTTCTATATGGTCTATGCATTGACATTTTCTCTGTATTACTGTTATCTGAATCTGGTATATATATATATTGTTTATATGAATATTATATTTTTTCTTTAACATGTAAATCTTCAAACTTTAAAAATCTCCCTGCAATTTCATGGAGCAATAGCAAAGTCCAATACAGACAGGTCACTGGTAGCTTTGTGGTTGACGCATCAGACCCATGATTTGTAGACCCAAGTTCAACTCCTACTGAACTTGGCTAAACACCACCTACCTTTGGTGAGTGTGCTACAGACTCAATGGAAAGGTCAATTCTACTGACCAAAATTCATTCACAAGATTCACAAAAAGGCAAAGTGCAATAATGAGTATTTTGTTACATCTTTGTGTTCACTGCAGATTTTGGAATTTGCTGTCAGAGTTTTGCACACCCAATGTTATCAGCTGTCTACCCATAGTCACGTCATTCTGTCATGGGTGTGGAACAAAATACTATCGACATGGACAGGTATGAATCATCAGTTATGTTTTGTGTACTGTAGTTCAATTAGAACCACTTTTAATATAGGAAATGTGGGCATAATAATGCTTTGTTCCTTACAGGTTAGAAATGTCACATAAGTATTTGTCTACAGTTGTAAAAATTGATTCTTGACTTTTTTAATAATAGTGAAAGTCATTGGATGTTCAAGATATGGGTCATTATTTAGTGCACACTTTGACCAGATCAAAACTCGCATTCATGTTGCCACTTGGAGAATGCATCAAACTGTGTAAAAATCACACAAATTTTGCATTTTCTTGGCACAACGCCCGCCATTTATTAAATAGATTGATATTTCATAAATATGATAATGCTGTGTCAAGTCCTGTGGTTCTAATAACTTAAACTACATTTAAAATTAACTATATCACACTATTGTTAATTTAATACATGTTAAATAGGTTGATTATGTCACCAATGTTAACTATGAAGGTAGGTCTGATGGATCAAAGGAATGGATTGATGCTGATTAAAATGAATGAAATGTGTAATGAAATGGATGATGTTGGATTTTCATGTTCTAGGTTATAAAGAACAAACCATGGGGTAACTTAAGTTGTCAGCAATTACAACCAAATATAGTGAATTCAGCGGAAGACATAACTGTAGACTATTGTACTATGGATGCCTACCATGGTGGTGGATGCTTAGAGGTTACTGGCAAACTTAAATCAGACAAATATACAACACTTGGGTGAGTTGGTCTCACAAACAAATCCTTGCTCAATAGACCCATGTTTAAACATGTAGTAGAAAACAGTTCATTTACATGTTATTACAGTAACAGCTCCTCCTTCTCACTCAACAACAATATAGATTCTGCTGCAAATATTATCAGTAAAGCATAATGTAGAAGTGTCTTTGCTCATTATACTGTAAGTGAGAAATCACTGCATGGATATCTAACTACTGAATAAATATCACAATTGCACAGCACTGGATCCTGATAACGATTTATAAATGCCATGATAAACGGTCTTCATAGAATTTGCCATACATACATATGCAACACGATTCAACATGCATAGCTAATTTTTTTTTCAGGTTTTTTTTTTAGAACTTTAGATAACTGGAAAAAAATCAGTTTTCCTGAAAACTAATGCATGGGAATGTCATTACAATTAAGAGTTGGTTATACCTAAGACTCTTAACAGAGTGAACCATATACTGTATTGTATTGACCATTTTCAAACTGTCACACGCAACGTAATATTACCGTAATTGGTATAGTACAGGTGTGATGGTTCAAATACCAAAATGGCAACAGTAACAAAAAGACTTCGCTGACGGCGATGATAAAATACGAACACGGAGCCAACAGATGAGGTTTCAACTGGTACTGGTATTATTATACTCTGCAAACATCAAGTACATGTACAATAACGCGGTAAAACTCCATTACTCCAATAACTAGATACTTAAACTCCAATACAATTCAACGAGATCTCTGATCTGATCTCAGTGCTGAACAACTCCCCTATATATACCCATACTGTCTATAAATAGACCATTACATCAGCATACATAATGAGTCTGGAATTTACTACAAATTTCTAGAATGTTCCATTACCTTCTGTTGCCTTCTACAGTGTCCTATTACCTATTCAACCAGTTTCTAAAAATTTCACCCAGACACAGTACGGTTCTAGAACATTCTCAGTCACACGGAAGTGGTAAACAAGTCGTATGCGACACAAACCTTTGAGAATGGTCACATATTGTGAATATGTTTGTCAGTTATCTGTGATGTATTCATACAGTGTTCTACAGAAGGTGATTAAAACATAATATTTTACTATAGGATATTTTCAAGTTCTATAAAAGTCGACCATCCTCTACTGGTGTCTTATACGTATCAAATGATTGCAGATGAGAAGGATGTTGGTTTCTGTCTTTATCTACGATGTGATGGTGGTCAGAAGATTATATCTTTGGTCAGTGATCAGGAAGGTGGGTATAGCAATACAACAGAACAAAATTATAATATGATTCACAACATTTAAACCGAGGGAGTCGTCACCTATGCATGCGTCAGGTGGCCATAGCGTGTCATTGTTTACAAACAAGCATCTACCAATGAGCCTTTGTTTTCTTAGCATGTGTTGTTATCATCGCTTGGGACTCAATTCCTGTGTGTGCACAGGTGACTACACTCCCCCTTTAAAATCTAAATTAAGCTACACATGGGTATTTAAAGAGCAATGGTCATTTTGCAGTTTGTGTTCAAATTTTATATAAACAAACAATGTATTTTTCATACATTGTTTACATGTACACTATGAGTCCCATATCGAACAGGAAAACCACCGCCCTGTGGTCTGAGTTGTGTTTAGAAATAGTTTTTTTATTAGTGCTAATGTACCAGTAAATAATAATAATCCAATAAGTACCATCAGAGGGTACTGTATGGTAAAGACAAATGATAAAATACATTTCACAGAAAAAAAAAAAACATAATGAGAAACTATTAAAAAACGATGACTTCTTAATTAAAAATGCAGAATGTATTAGCTTGTTATAATACATTGTAAAAGATGGATGGGTTTGTGGTTTAAAGAGTAACCATACAAATTTGGAAGAAAAATTAATATTTTTTCATATTGGTGGTTCATTGCAACCTGTACAAATTGTCTTCACATTTGAAAACAATTTTTTGCATTTATTTTTGTGTTCATATTAATTCAGTGGGTGAGAGGCAGTCACAATCAACTGTATCAGATTACGGCATAGATTTCTCTGATAAACTCTTCAATTCATCGCTGCCTTGCATGACTGATATATCCCAGCATTCCTCAGTTTACGCAACATTATCCGGTGACAGCCAAATCAGTTTACAAGCTACATTCCATGGTGAAGACATTTCCACTAGTTCAAAATGGAAAACAAGGTAAGGGTCTTATTTGATTGTGAGTATATATGGACTGATTCCACCATTTGAACTGAGTGAATTGATTTAAAAGGGTTCATATACACATCTGACATGAACTTTTAAATAACAATTTATTTTGGTACCATCATATATCATTATTTTTGTCATAGTCACTGCAATTATCAACTTCAGC